ATTTCATTGTCCCTTTTTATTTATATAGACACCAAACCACTTTTTCAGACAATAACTCATTATCCATCTTTTGCTAAGTTAATAATGGACTTTAGCTAGATTCCTATCATGCGCCGATCCATTTCCCAGCACACTAATCTGTGCACAAAGATTTCTCTCCTTTGTTACTCCCCTCGTCTGCTGGCGGACGGCTAGAGAGCGTTATATATGAATACAGACACTAAATGAAAATCATGTCTGCCATCCATCATATGTAGTTGTCAGGCCGCTGGCACTGCCTACCGTAGCTGTCAATTTAATCGTCTCTGTTTCTTTAGATACTCCAGCCCAACGCTGTTAATTCTATTATCCCACAGAACAGTGTGTGTATGGACGTATGATTGAAGAGTGTGTGTATGCTGTCAGTAATCCAGACATGTATATTTTAGGAAGATGAGTCTGGCTGAGACTTTAACCTCCTGGGGTCGACGGTGGCGCCGGCGCCACCACGTGCATGTTTTACTGATAAGAGCAAAAAGAACTTAAAATGCTCGTTCATTTTTGTTTGTACACATAAGAGTAATACACCATTCGAATCTGTAAAGGGTCTACTTTTATTTGTGTACACTCACAATATCAACAAAACATTTCCCTCAGAAATCTGTTAAAGAAAATGCATTATGCAGCTTAGTAAGTGCACTAATGCAAGGACAGCACTGATGATGCAAACTACAAACAGGCAGATGAGGATATGAACGCAATTTACAAAACGCGCGAAACGTCTCCGGTTACTATGTGTAATGGGGTGATCCCTTTAGTGGGTTTTCCTTTCTGTGTGGGTGGATGGAGCTGGGCGGAAGTCAAGTTCACGGCCCCTTTAAAAAGCGCTGAGATTTCTCTTTACTTCCGTTTTCCTCCAGCATGGTATACAGGCTGTATGTTGATCGTGTCGCAAGACCTATTTGATGAGCGTCAAGCATTGAACTTGTAGTCAACGCCACAACCTGTATAAGGTTGGAATTTTTTTCTAACTCTGGGCGTGGGCCTGAGGGTGTTCAACCGCTTCAACGCATTTCAGGCGTGATCCAGGCAGTATTGGTGGATTGTCCACCACTCTTATTGAGAGCCAGTTAATTGTGCTGCAGAAATTCGTCCGTTGCTGTTTTGCTGCTGTGTGGCGGCTTGACCGTGGCGCTGTACTGGGGAGAAGTTGTTCGCCTTTCTTCACGCGCTCTCGACTGTGTGTCTGTTTAAGTTGCATTATAGCGAATTAAGTGTGTGCGTGTGTTTGGGATGAGCGTTTGCGAGTGAACGCTTGTTTGTTTGTTTGTGTGTGTGTGAGAGAGAGAGCGCGCGCGCGTGTGTTTGGGATGAGCGTTTGCGCTTGTTTGTGTGTGTGTTAAAATCAACCGGTGTTTGTTTTTTTTATTTGATTGCTTTAATTGTATTTTCTTTAATTTTGGTTCTCTGTTTTATGGTTTTGAGAATTGGGGGTAGCTGTTATCTTTGATTGTCAATTCCCTTATAACCAACAAGGGCTATATTCTGCTGGGAGGGTTTATTTATTTTTAATTTTTTTGCTTGCTTGTTGTGTGGTTTGCGGTTTTGGTCTTTTTTTGAGTGAGGGTAATTTTATTTTTGCTTTACAGATTTGAGGGAAAGTGTGGATTTGAGGTTTTGTTTGTATTGAATTTATTGGGGTTTTGTTTTTTTTCTCCTTCCCAAATGTTGAATTATCCCAAGGGATATTGATATTGTCAAGTCAAGATACATCATTACAAGTGGCCACTGAATATTATTTTTATGTAACAACAGTATTGTATTTGTGTATTTTTCTAACGAATTTGTGTTTTGTATGATTATATTTTTTTTAGTTTATATTTAAGTGTCAAATAAAAAAGATTGTTTGTGTACCTCTCTGCTTGTTCCTTCCATTTGTTTGGAAGAACCTGTAGTGGTAGAAAACCATCTATCTTGTTACTTTAGGTGGCATTGTCCCCGCTCACATATGGTAACCTCGGTTCCCTGAGAGCGGGAACGAGACATCACGGAGACATTTCTCCGTTATGGGAACTCCTTCCCTTCCAACCTTTCTTGAAGTCCTATTGGCTAATGCCAGTCCAAATGACTGGCCAAGTGGAGGGCGCCCGTGCCTCCGAGAGCGTGTCGAGCACACGAGAATGCAGAGCATTCAGCTCCTCTGATATCCCCGAAGCAGCCACACATGAAGGCTCCATAACTCCGGGTTCGGGTGCCACACCGAGCCGCTCGCTTGAGACAGCAGATCCTTCCTGATGGGGATCGGCCAGGCCGACGCCACTAGCAGCTCTGTCAGGTCCGGGAACCAAGGCTGGTTTGGCCAGTTCAGGGCGATGAGTATCACCGAAGCCCCCTCCTCCCTGATCTTGCATAACACCAGCGGTAATATCTTGATCGGAGGAAACGCATACAGCCTGGCTACCGCCGAAAATCCTTTAGAGCTAAGAACACTGCTTCCAGCTCCAAGCGGTTTATGTGCCACCAGCTCTGAGGTTCTGACCACAGCCCCGAAGCCGGCATGCCCTCTCAGACTGCTCCCCAGACGCGAATCGATGCAGCCGTCGTGACCACAACGACGTCACCAAGCCCAGGGGAACCCCAGGCTGAAGAGATCTGGGTTGCGCCATGGCTTCAGCACTTCGATGCAGTCGCGGGAGACCGCAATGCGCAAACGGCCCGAAGCCCACGCCATCCAAGGGACTCGAGATTTCAGCCATAATTGCAGCGGGCGCATGTGTAGTAAGCCCAGATGACATACCGCTGAAGCAGACGCCATGAGTCCCAGCAGCCTCTGAAATTCCTTCAAGTGAACAGAGCTGCCCAGTCTGAAATGGCGCAGGGAAGACAAAATGGCCGCCGAGCGCTCCCGAGAGAGGCGGGCTCTCATCTCCACCGAGTCGAAGCACACTCCCAG